AATCAACAGAGGCTAAAAACGAGTTTTACTCACTAGAGAGTAAAAATGCCACTTTAGACCCGCAACGCATGCATTAAAAATGCTGTTTTGCTGCAGTGTGACGAAAAATGTTTTTGATACATTATTCTACTTATCCGTCGTGTAAACTCCAAATTAAAATCATCAACGAACACATCACGTTACCAGACATGTAAATAAAACTATTCATTATAGATCCATTTAATTGTTACTCTATATAAAAATGTGTATAATCTAGGTCAATACCAAGCACTAAGATACATAGCCAATGTTACAAGTAATTCCACAATGCATTACGGCAGACACAGAATAATGACTAGGAGTAAAGTATGCAGCAAAGCTCTTGATAGTCATATGTCTCTCCAGTGTGGAATTCCAATTAAACTACAAGCAAAACCACCAACAGTGGTCAATGTTAAGCGCTCAATAATTATAGAGGCTTAATGTCACTATGTTCATTTATAGTAGTTCATTATTGGTGAACAGTATCAATCATCATGAGGTTGAAATTTATTTACTGAATCAATGTAATATATTTAAATAAGTTCATATGAAAATTACATAAACAATGTGAGGTTATTGATAATTTATAATTTAAAATGTGGGGAAGTCATCAAATGTGGGGATAGTCAGCAATTTGAACGGCTAATAAGGGTTTGAACGTTATTTTATAAAGGGGGCGTTTTAGTTTGTTGTGGTCACTGGACACAAGGTAAATTATAGTCGCAAGATTTGAAAATATGTAAAATATAAGGAATCAAATTCATTAAAACTCTTTTAAAAGAGGTAAGTTTGTAAGTGTTTCAATAATACAATATAAATATTATTGTTTCTTTCTGGTTCAGAATTCCAGCCGTTAGGTGTTTTCCAATTACATGGCTTTGTATCACATCTATTCGTAATCCTTTTGCTTGAAATAAGATGATTAATTCGATACATGATGTGAATATGCCAACTGTAATTCAAAAAAGTACATAACTTACAAACAAAATTGAAGTTCTCTATTTATATTCATAAAAGTTAAGTTAAAATTTTGTTTTACAAGTTTTCGATTACAATAATTAAACATGCATTACATTACAAACTACTTTTAATTATAAGAATTATGATTTTTTTCGTTACAAAAATAATTTGGTAGTTTTTTTATTCAATAAATGATTAAGAGCAGCAAATGTTCAAGGGGTGTTCCTTTTATTTTATATAAATAAAAGAGGGGTTCCTCGTAGCTGTTACTGTTGCTTAAATATGGTTATTAAACTATGGAATGTTATAAATATTTCATCAATAAATTAGTAAATGGACATTCCGGAAACAAATTACTAACTGAATATAGAAATGTATTATTCAGTTTTCTTTGACATGACCATTGCGCTAATTCCTCGCTTGTAATCCTAGTAATTTTAAGTAGAACGTTAATCTTATGACAACCAGGTATGTAATATTATCCAAATATATTTTCACTAACCAATCAACAACATTTCTTGAGTAATGGCACAGTTGTAAGGACTTCATAACATTTTTTAAATAGGCCTATTAAAAAGTTATTTTATTTATAACCTCTCACTACAGATCAAGATAAGATTATAAAAGAATATACTCGTGAAATTAATGTGGTAACTTCATAACCAGAGGGTGTGGAAAGTTGCAGTTTTATAGGGTAATATAAATCCTAAAGGCGTCCAATGTGGCACGAGGTACTTGTACGACTCAGCGGGGGGTTTTAATGAAACCAATTATTTATGCTATATTTCTTTACGACATCAATAAAGAATGGCCCAAGAAAATTGCTTGTACATTCACATAAACATCTCCATCGTATTTTTGTAATTAATGAGAATTGCTTTGTAATTATTGAAATCGTAATAATTGGCAAAAGTTAATTAGTTGTTAGAAGCTATCTTTTGAAGATAGGGTTTTTAAATTGTTCGTGCGTTTTTGCAGAAATTATTCATTGAAGTAAAAAAAAATTGTTTACGACGCGAGTATTCCGGATCATGAATCAGATTGAAAAACATTATTGGAACACAGCATTAATGGTGCTATCTAACAAAAAGTTTGATGTTAGATAGTAAAAAAAACAGGGTTTGGCCCGTTGTCTTCCAAATCGTAAAAAAATTAATTGGCGGAGAAAACAGACATAATAAGTAAGTAGTAACAAGTAGTTGGTCAGTTTTGGTAATATCTTTTTTCATTGACTAATATAGGTACTCGTTTCTGTAGTTGGATTTTATTGTGTTTTCCAGCTTTGGCTATGTTGTGTATATTATTTTTGTAAGATCTTGAATACTTTTTCACTTTAAGGATGGGATCAGGTTCAAGTTCCGTAAACGTCATACAAACTTAGTTTTTCTCTGATCGTAATGGAATATTTTGACAATAATTTAATAAATTACAGAAAGTTGGATGAATGAGAATAATATACTATAATAAAAATCATGCACTGCAATTTATTTAAATGGTTACTATTAATATTCAAGCAATGTTTTTCTATTGTTTCAAGATCAAAAATTTATTTAATCATGAATAATCCTTATTGATATACAATTCAGCTTTGTTATGTCCGTTAGACCAACCTTGCTATATACTTTTCTATTTAGCTTAAGATTTTCTTGAACAGGCATGCAGACCTACAACACGAATTTACCCTACAAGACCTTGAAATCATTTTGAATTTGTTTAATTAGTTTTAGTCATTCTTTGAGAACAAATTTATACCAACAAACACATATTCCTCATAAACGTTTAAGTATAGAGGTTAAATATGGACTATTATATATTTTTCATTATCTCTTCAGTACGTTACTTAATATTAAAGAGCATAAGTTTTAATGTATATTTTTTGTATCACTTTAAGAGTTTAAGTGCAAAAATTAGGGTTATCCGTAATACAAATATTAACAGTTTTCCTCTAAACCATTTCAACAGGTTTTTAATTAAAAAATACCCCTTGTGTACTTAAGCGAATACGACAAATAGATAATTTGAATACTTGCGTTGTCACACACTGAAAAAGCGACTCCTGTAAACAAACTCTGTTGTTCATCGCAAATACTTTGTTTAGTTCATTTTGTGTTGTTGGCTTTTTTTACTTGAAAGTCAATTTTGTTTGTTTAACTTTGTACGTTTCGAACTTGAAAAAAACAAATAGACTTTATGAGATATGTTTTAGTTTGAAATTATTGAATTTAATATAAACATTTACGATTTAAGACAATAAATTGGTTTTCTTTATATGAACACTTGATGATCAAAAATAAACTTATTTAATTGAGCTTAATAATTGTTTAATAATAAAGTATTTAGTTTAAAGTGGATGCTACAACTAGATAGGATTAGTTTATGAGTCTTAACTTTGAGCACATATGATTCAGGGGTTCAACACATGGTATTTTTCGTACCTAGGGCCGAAAATGAAGTTTTGCAAAACCACGTGGTACTAACGCTATTTTTCACCACACTGTACCCTATTTCCACTATTCACCACAATAATGAACACTAATACTCAACTCAACAACAACATTAAGGTTATGTAAATAAATAATTTTGAGGAATCAGCATAAATAAATAAATAGTTGATAGGCAGCGGTGACAATAAAACAAGTATATTGCCAGCTAGGGATACTGCTTGTATATTTAATATGCAATAATGTTTAAGAAAGTAAGAGACCAGTTGATTCTTGCCCCTAGGGATGTAAAAAGCTGCTCGATCCCCAAATGATGACAAAAGCTGGCATAGACAGTAATACGTAGCTATCGCCTTCCAGTAAACGTTTGTAAAACGGCTAAAACATTGTAGGGTAGTGAAAAAGACATATTCACAATACTAGAGGACTGTTGTGTTGATATCCTACCTTCACGTCCTAGAATTTAGCACATAACTGTTTTACGCATTACGTTAAGCTACGCCTAAAGAACCGTTGCATTATACGGGTAAAATCCATTGGTGATGTGCGCAATTTGAACCCAGGATTTTGGGGAAGGAGTCCTGTACTCTACTGCAAAAGAAGCGAACTAGCTAGTTTGTTTTGGCTGCGTCTGACAGTAAGATATTGAATGTGAACCAAGGTCGCACACCCACGGATTTGCGGTCTTGATACTGAGTACAAAGTATAGTTCTATGGAATATGTAAATACCCCCGCCGCAGCAAACCTGCAGACTAAGCGAATTTCAACTCGTCTGATTACATTTTTACTAAAATATTTCCATAAATAAGACATATTATTCCCTATTTAAATAACATTAGATTTAACGAGTGCTTAGGTTTGCTGCTACGGGGAAGGTAAAAAGTGTTTTTTGACCATACGTCAATAGTATAGGATGAAATAAATAAATTTGCCAAATTTTATCAATATATACCCATAAACAAGTAAACTACAACAATTTTCATTTTCTCCATAAGAATAACATGGGAATTTTTTATTACACTATTTTAGAATTTTCTCCGTGACCGTTAGGCATACAACAGCGCTTCAATATACTAAATTATTTCTTTTTTTAAGCTCTACAAAACGGTTTAGAAAGAAATCGCAAATTTTTTTGTTTTTAGGTTCAAAAATGGGAAAAACCCATTTTTACCCCATAAAACCCCCCATAAACCCCCGTCCCCATGGTCCGATTATGCTGGATCGCGAACTCGTTCGAATAAACGTAGGTTTACACGTTTGTACCAAATTTCATCAAAATCGGATCATTTTGGCTCGAGTTATCGCGCTAACGGACATATATATATATATATATATATATATATATATATATATATATATATATATATATATAAATATTTATATATATATGAATTTGAACGGATGGTGTTTTTGGCCTCTAGGGACCTCAAAATGAAAAATTAAATCGGTCTTGGGTCCAGGTCTTACTATGAGTACTACGGTAATAGCTTATTCCCTATATGGGAAATTCGCTAAAAACAAATTATTCCAAGTATCCCTTGATTATTAATGTTAATCAATATGTCGTCTGTTCACAGGGATGTTCCAGAATGATGGCCAGAAGCTGGTTGGAACGCTCTGTGACCATCAGTTCATCTCCAGCAACTTCACCCCATCCTACGGGAGGTTCTACTCCCCTCGTTATCCCTCGAGCTACCCCAAGCACGTCAAGTGTGCTTACAGGTTCAGAGCCAGGTGAGCTTTACTTCCTTACTAAAGTTCGTCAGGGTTTTCTCTTGGTAGCCATGTGCTATAGTGTTCCCTTCAAATCTGAAGGTCATTAGATTCCTAACGAGATGTATTCATGGCCATTCCAGTTTGTAACATTACAATACAGTAAATAGAGTGTCATTAAATTATACTATTTAGCAAAAGGTTGGCGTTAGATAGCAACCATACTAGGCGTTTGGACTTTCCATTCGAATTTGTACAAAATCCAATGACGTAGATAAACTAAATAACGTATTCAATTCAGAGATGATACATGGTACATAGAGATGATACTCATTGATAGATTAATTACGAAACGGTTTTACATATCTGGGAAAACCACAGATACTGTTTTTAAGTGTTGGTACCAAAGGATTTTTGAATGTGTAGCTTCGATATGCTTTATTAATAAAAGGTTGTTAGAGAAACAAGTTTTGTTCTGGCACTTTTTTAGCTTGCGTAGGGATTGTAGTGATCAAAAATTGAATACTATTTTACGTTAACTTAATTCATGATACTGATTAGATTAAAATAGTTTAGAAACTGAGAAATAAGCTTAAGAGCAGTTATGGTTTGACCACTTCATGTTATAGTTTTGATAAACGAAGCTTACAATTCAACAGTTAGGTTTGCTATTATATTTACAATATAGTTTCTGTCGAAAGAAATCATAATAAATGCATCTCTTTTTCATTTTACTTGGTTGTAATATTGAAACATATTTCAATTTGTTGGATTACTAATGGAAATATACACTGTTACACTAATATTGGTTGGGTGATCCAAAACACTACCGTGATTAAGAATTCCACGTTTATAGCACTATCAAGTTATGAAACTGAATTTACGTCTCAAATAAACTAGTTTATAGGCAATAGAGCTGTTAGCCACAATCAAAGTAACTCTATGATTAAACTTTTTAATCAAGGTAAATGAAAAGCAGGGTTTTACAACGCAGTCATAACAATACAAAATGGCGTGACAGTGCCATGGACGGCCGTAACAATACCAATAAAGGCCACCACCTGAACTGTCGCTTTGCGATAAAATATTTACATCGAATCTCATCCTGTGCCAAACGCCGCCCTCTCATTCTCTTTTGCCTGGTTACCTCCGATATTTTATCGCAAGGATTCAAGCTTTAGAAAGTATTACCTTAGTAGATTTTTATTGGTTATAAGGATAATTTATTTTAAAATAATGTGATTTCATCACACTGTTTTGTGTATTTTTTAGGAGCAGAGAACGAATTCGAGTTGAATTTGAGGAGGTGACACTGCAAAAAGGGGATGTGAGGTAAGAATTAAACAGTAAATACGCCTACTTAGCCATGCCTTATGATCTGTTTTCTTGGTTTTGAAATGTACCTATTTCATTTTATTCATGGTAAAAGTAATGCATTTAATTTAACACATTTCAAATCAATTAAACACAGTATACTCTTTAATCCACCTTTTACCAAAATTGCATAAGTGCAGACACAAAATAAGCTTATTGCAAAAATCCAATTATGTTTATCAATTTAACGACTATCGAGTTCCCTGTTTAGAGATCTGCATTAGCTAGATCAAATGTAATTACATCAAACCTTTTACTAGATAGAACTAGACATTTCATCCTTGTTAAGTATAAAGATGACAATAGTATAACATAATATAAATTTTAAAATAGAAAACTCTAGGGCATGTGACAACCCACAAATGGAAAATGAATGTTTTGCTGCTTGTGTTATTTTTATGAAGAGTGATTTACTATAAAGTGTTTTATTCTTGAAATGTCAGTAAAAGGCTTAGGACCATTAACGTATATGAATATTAGCATTAATATATTAAAGTGCATAGGTAATATTTAAAGTACTATGTTTGTTTTCCGGATTAAGTGGTTTGACAGTAATGAAGGTAGTTAACCAAGCAGACGGTTTCTGTTTACACTTGGGAGAACGGAATCTACCACAGCAGACACTAGAGCTAGTTATAGAGGGATTAAGTCAAACACCTGGGACTAATTTGTTCTGCTACACGTGAGTAAATGTAGACAACAAACAAATTTGTTATACATCAAGTAATAATGAATTTAAATAGTCATTAAAAAGTCAATCTAATTAAAGTAAAAAACGTGAATAAGCGTCAAAACGGGTTATTAAAAAGATAATGGTCGAATGGTCTATATGATAATAAAATTTATCAATTTAATTTCGATAACAGTTTTTATTTGGGTGATTATTTTGATATAAGTAGAGTTTTTTTTAATTTTTTTTACATTGTAAATACAATTATTCTGTTCCAATTTTGTGCGTCTAAGCTACGTTGTAAAATTTGGTTGGGATTCCAAAATGTACACCAATTAATAAGGATGCTGGATTACTAAAATGAGAAAAGTAAATAGGCTAAAAATGGAAACATTTGATTGATACGATTTTTTCAGATTGAGTACGAATAAAAATTATCAATACGGTAGTGTAAATTAATAAATCCATTAAGGGTGAAATACTTTGCAAAAGAAGTGGAACATTTTAAAAAAGCTTTAACAATATTATTGTGATTGTTGATCTATATACCAAAAAAATATATTTAATATTGTAAAATTTCCATAAAAAAATACTTGAAATACTAAGCACTATACTATAGAGCACAATAAGACTATATGTCACTTCCTTATTAAAGGATTCGGCATTTTGTAAAATCTATGTAAAAAAACTATGAAAGATGTAATACTCCCATTTGTAATTGTAGAAATTCATTAAGATGGGTTTGCTTTTATAGTCATAAAAACTGAAAACTGAAAGCGCATTTGATGTATCGCTATTTAATTAATACTTTTTATTAATATAAAATGGGTGATAAATAAATACTGTAACAATCTTTATACTAAAAAGCGGCTTCATTTATTGGTTTGCAGACACAGATTGATAACTGTCGACTAATAAACAATTTAAATTGAAAAGCGGGATTACTAAAACATAATTGAAATCCATATAATTGACCAATCTATTCATCCGTTCGATTATAAAACGGATTGCGGATGACGTATTGTAAATGTTTAAGCCATTAAACTCGATAGTTCATGTCTGACACTTCCCATTAATCTATTAAATATGTATTTATTTTAGTACTGTTTCAAGTAATTAAAAAGTGTTATAAATATATGGTGGTACTTTCCTGTTAGAGGGAACATTCATTATTATCGATGATTTTCAATCGATATATCGATATTAACGAATTGAAACCTATCAGCTGACAACTACGATAAATAAATATTGTTTAGTATAAAAAAATATTGAAATGAAACTGTTCCAAACCAACCTAACAAAACTAACCAAACTTGCTGTAACGTTTAACAATTCCGTTTAATATTCCCCACATGCCTTTTCTGTAATCAAACGGAATTTTTAAATTAGTATAGCAAGTTTGGTTGGTTATGTTAGGTTAGCTTAGAACAGTTTTAATCCATAATAGACTAGATTTTAGCCTAAACAAGATCAGTTGTCAATTTGTAATGGATCGTAAAGGGAAACAGAAATATCGATATATCGATTGAAAATCATTGATAATAATGAATGTTCCCTTTATCAGGAAAGTACCTATATGGTTTTATCCGATGACTGTCTCTGTTCTTTTGTCTCCTATTTATAATAAAGCATAAATGTAATCTCTTTTAACTTTACGAAATTAAGGAATACATCATTGAATGATCTGTGAAATTCATAATTTTCAATACATAAGAAAATGTTTATTGTTTTCACTTGAAGAAGTAATAATCTAGAGTAGCTCAATAAATGTAAGTTGTAAAATAATGATGCACGTGAATCATATTTCTAAGGTATAAAACACAGGGCCACGTGGCGAGGCATTACGTCATATTACCTGGAGTTGTTCTCGCTTCCATGTATATTTTATGATGTTAAAACAGTTCCTTAATAATGTAAGTTGTTTATATTGTCCTACGTATTGAGGAAAAAACCAATTAAATACAATGAAATTCATTTAGTAATTACTTTTGCAAATATATAATATTTATGATCAGTTTAATGGCATATAAAAAAAAGGCTTAAGTTGATATAATTTATAAAAACTATTACATCACTCTTTAATTTGAAAATATCCTTAGTATTATCTAAATCAATAGTATTTACTAGATACCTTTCAGATTGTGTAAATAAACTTCTAATGGATCGAATTATTTAATTGACTAATTATTAACAACGTTATGTGTTCAAAATATACTTAAAGAACATCGTGTTCGAGTAGCAGATATGCATAAAATATTACATAGCCTTATTTAAATAAAACCATGTTTTAAATCAAACACCCCGTGTTTGTGCAAATCATTTAAATAAAAAATGCCTCTAATAAACATATTTACATTGAAAATTATGAGAATGATATTTCATTTCTCAACATTTATTTATATTTTCTTATGAAGTGTATATCAGTTAAATATTGTAAGTACATGTAACATTATACCGTTCAGCTGCAGACAACATAAGATGCCAGCTGGAGTAACAAAATAGAGACACGTTACCCGAGCTTAACAATTGTCACCAACTTTGAGATAAACCTACAGGTCACGAGCTTTGTACACTGATACTTAACCAGACACCTGAGGCACTTTTAAAATTAAAAATAAACAAGAATAACGTGTCTTTTTTTAGTAAATTTAAACATAGGTTTACTATTTGTACTATGTCATCATCAATATCGCAAACAAACCAAACACAATCATGCTATTGGTGAATCTATTTATTTTAATTAATTTTTTTATATTTTTTATCCACGTCACAATCCACGGTTAGTGATTGTCTCATCCATACGTTCTCATATGATTTAAGTAATTAATTGTAATGTAAACCTTTCGGAATTTTGAAAATAGTCTATGGCTTTATGTTTGTGATCTTCATTTAGCTTTGACAATATTTTATGCGGGATATTTTACCGCATAAAACATTAATTTAATATATATTTTATTCTAATACAACAGCATAAAACTATTTTTAACACTTGCATCGATATATAATCATGTGCAACTTGTAATTAAAAACATTTTTGCCGTGTTAATATACCATTTATAAAACTAATATGTCGAGTTTTGTTAATAACAGCTAATTTTTACCCATTGGTTGTGTTTTAACGTGTGGAAAATGCATCAGGTTTTACAAAATCGCTTTGTTTAGCAGATTGCTGAACGTTTTGGTCTATTATAAACAAATATTATGTTGCATCAAAATTAAATTTTAATGAAAACCAAACATAATTAATTAGTTTCTTAAAAATTTAATTGTTTTGAGCTTTTGACCTTTTTAGCGACTTGTATACATTTGCTTTGAATTCAACCTACAACAATGTATATTGTATAATTTATACAGGGAAACAATTAAATCTTAGGACAACTTTATAACTTTAAAATGAAAAGTGGTATCATATTAAAATTTGGCATTCCATTACTGGTAATAGTAAGCTTCTTTTTTGTATACATGGTGATCGGATGTCATGTAGAGGGGAAAGCCCCTAAAGACTAAGTTGAACATCTTAAATGTAACCACCAAATTGGTTGATATGTACACCAAAATAAAGGTCTTATTGAGCAAAAACAATGCCCCAAACCAGACCTTAAATGGATAATTGAGTAGAAAATGACAGCTGTTAAAAGATTTATTGAATTTGCAGAGTTGGTGAATTGAATTCACTACATCAGGGGGCCGCCCGCTAGAAAAACGTAATCATCGGTTGATATACACATCAAAGTAAAGGGTCTTTATTACTTACTTACTTACTGCTGGGGCGCTACAAATCGCAGTCGATTCTTCGCCTCGTAGATCAGCCTCTTCCACGCTTCTCTGTCCGCTGCCATCTCCACTGACCCTCCACACTGACTCACATCTCTTTTAACTTGGTCATACCATCTCATTTTTGGTCTACCCAGTGGACGCTTTCCAGTTGGTACAGCAGAACATACTTCCTTCAGTCTTGTTCCTTCTTCCCTTCGCAATACATGACCTAGCCAACCTAATCTTTTTGCCTTTATCAAAGCTATTATATCAGGGTCCTGGTATAACGCTCGCAGCTCTCTGTTTTTTCTAATCCGCCATTCTCCTTCTTCGTTTACTGGGCCAAATATTTTTCTTAGGACCTTGTTTTCAAAAACAATCAAGCGTCCTTCATTTCTCTTGGATAGGACCCAGGTCTCACTTCCATACAATAATACTGGTTGAATAATGGTTTTATATATTCTTATTTTTGTATCAGATGATAGGAGTTTTGATGACAGGAGCTTCATACATGCACCTAAACATTTATTGG